AGTTTAGTTCATTTTGTGAAGTCCATGAATGCTTCGAAATGGTGAGTGTGTTAGTGAGAAATACCTAATTGTTCCAAGATCAAATACAAGCCTGGATCTTAGTCCTTCTTCCTAATAATTCCACCAAAGAACCCTTCATCTCTAAGCAAGAAAATCCCTCTTCTCCTCTCTTTAAGCTTGCGGCCTTGTAGGTTCAAGGAGGAAGGAAGTTCATTCAAGAAGATTCAAAGTAGTCAAAGGTCAAGAAGTGTTTCCTTAAGTCGTTGATCATCATCAAAGGTAAGCCTATGAACCTTCTTGGTTAGGAATGACATGTAAAAGCATGAAAGTGATATCCTAAGTATATGATCCCTAGAAGGCCGAACCATGTATGATAATTATAAGCATGAAGAGATGTTTAAATGATATGAAAGATGATGAAATGATGATGTTAGATTTGCATGTTTAGTAGCCTAGGTTCTAAATCAATTTTGCATGATCATAACCTTAGTTGGCCGAATATATAAGATGATGTTTTGAATGATGCTCTAGGATTTAAATATGATAAATTATCAATAATGTTAGAAGCATGTTTTAGAAGTAATCCCTTAGGTATTTTAGGGCAATAAGGCCGAATGGTATGTAGCTAAAAGAGGTTTTATTTGATTAATGTTGAAAGGATCTAACCATGTTAAGTTAATAATATAATTGAAAGCATGTTTTAAAAATTATATTCCTAGATGTTTATCTATGGTGGCCGAACCTATACATGCCTAGAATGAAATCTTTAATAATTCTATTAAGTGTTATGATGACCTAATAATGTCCTAAAACCTACACAAGTGGGTAAGTAAGCAAAACAACTCCTCTAGGTAATTAAACCTGCAAAGCCGAGACCTATACATGGATAAAACACAAATGTTGAATGTTATATAAGTTACTAAAAGATGATATGATGATGTTAGGGAGTCAAGGGAGCAAACAGGCAAGTAAAGAGATCAAAAGTTGAAAGTATACAAGTAAAGAACGACAAGTACTGTAAGTGTTTACAGTTGTTGAAGTAATCTCTCTATGTATGCCACCATTATGAAACTATGATAAGTTATGGTCTGACTGCAATATGTCTATAGTGCTTTACATTATGTGATTATGATATTTTTGAAACTTAAAACCATGCTATTAAATGTTGGCCTGTGCACTGATACTCCAGTTGCAACCTGACGAGGACTCTGGGTATCTCCGTAAGTCCGTAAAAGCCGGCAGGAATATGATGATGATGATGATGATGGCATGATATTTTTATATGATGATGTTAAATGTTCCATTTTGTATTGTTATTATAAATTGTTGCAGGAGTAAGCGTCATAGTTGGAGAATGCTCCAGCTGTGAACCTTACTGAGATTTTACCCAAAATCTCACCCCCCCTTGACCACCCATTTCAGGAAAAGATGAAAGAAAGTAATAAGAAAGTTATGTGGGAAAGAAAGGGTAAGAGACTGGTACGTAAAGAAGAAGAAACTCCACCTACCTGGGAAGAGAAACTAAAGGATCTAACAGATAGAGGCCTATGGACTGAGGCTATGAAATTATTAATAGAAGCTTTTCCACATTATGATTTCGATGAAGCACTAAGTACACAATGGCTAGAAGAACCACAACCACATTATGACTGGGCTTATGATGCGGCATAAATTATGTTTTTATTTATGATTAGTTAATCTTTTTGGGATTACATTAAATAATGTTTAGTGTTATTTATTTTGTATTGACGTTTTAACGCTTTTAATTTTATATGGAATAAGTATGGTTATGTGTTTCCATTCCGCACTCTGATATTTGCATTCGTAAAGTTTAAATTTAGACTTCCGCGCGTTGAATGCATGATGAAGGTGCACCCTATATGTATTTACATTTGGGGTGTTACAGTCCCTGTGGTGCTTACAATTACAAGTCACCTTGCATGAAGGAGGGAAAGTGTACAAAGAAATTTCCAAAGAGTTTTTGTTCCCGTACGATTATTGATGATGACAGATTCCCTCATTATAAGAGAAGAGATAATGGGAGGGTTGCGAAGAAAAATGGTGTTGAACTTGATAATCGTTTTGTTGTGCCTTATAATGCAAAACTCATTTTAAAGTACCAGGCTCATATTAATGTGGAATATACCTGTCAGACCAGTGCTATTAAATATCTTTTTAAATACATTCATAAAGGAAATGATAGAGTTACTGCTGCTATACATCATTCAGATGATGAAATTAAAATGTTTTATGATTGTAGGTACTGAAATTAATCTCCATTAGCTTTTGAATTACTATGCATGTATTACTTTTTATACTAGACTCCATTTAACATAATTCTTTATTTATGATAGGTATGTATCCGCATGTGAAGCTGCTTGGAGAATATTTGGATTTGAAATTCATTACAGAAACCCCCCTGTGATGAGATTGCCATTTCACTTACCCAATGAAAAGACCGTTGTTTTTCATGATACTGCATCAATATCTGAAGTAAAGACAAGGGAGGAGTTTAGACAATCAATCTTTGAGAGTTGGATGGATGCAAATAAAAAATTTCCAAAAGGTAGGCATCTTACTTATGCTGAATATCCAACTCATTTTGTTTATAATGCAAATAGTCAAGAATGGCATCCTAGAAAAAAAGGATTCTCAATTGGAAGAATAAATCATTTTTCTGCAAATAGTGGAGAAGATTCCTATCTTCGAATGCTTCTTAATTTTAAAAAGGGTTGCACAAGTTACGAGGACCTGAGAACTATCAATGGGGTGATGTTTCCAACATTTAAAGATGCTTGCTATTCTCTTGGACTTTTGGATGATGACAATGAATACATTGATGCAATTAAGGAGGCAAGTTCTTGGGAGTCAGCTTCTTATCTTAGACGTCTTTTTGCTCTGTTGTTGTTCGGTAACTCAATGAATAGACCTGAAAATGTTTGGGGGAAGTGTTGGCAATTTCTCTCTGACGATGTTCTTTATCGACATAGAACAACAGTAGGACATCCAGGTATTCATTATGAACATATCGTTTGCATTATAATTTTTTTTATCATTATTTTTTTCTGTTGAATATACCGCTTTTGTGGTAAAAATAATGTACCATGAGTCATGTTAGAATTGTACTTTCAATTGTCATTTTTCATTGTTTTCCACGTTTCTACAGATGCAAATCTTACTGAAGAACAAATAAAAAACACAACACTTGCTGAAATTGATAAAGTGCTACAAAGTAATGGAAAATGCCTTTCTGATTACCCTTCAATGCCCTGCATCACTGGTGCATCTTTGCTTGATATGCACAATCGCTTAGTGCTTGATGAATTACTGTATGACAGATTGTTTTTGGTTGAAGAACATAAAAGACTAATGAGTTCCCTTACAGATGAGCAAAAAGTTGTCTATGACAAGATAATTTCAGCAGTTTCAGTGGGTACAGGGGGATTCTTTTTTCTATACGGCTTTGGTGGTACAGGAAAAACATTTATTTGGAATACATTGTCAGCATCCATTAGATCAAAAGGCAAAATTGTACTTAATGTTGCTTCTAGCGGGATTGCATCACTTTTGCTTCCTGGAGGCCGGACAGCACACTCTAGATTTCGTATTCCAATTCAGATCACTGAGGATTCAACCTGTAATATACGGCAGGATTCTAATATTTCCGAATTGCTGGCGAAAACAAAGCTAATCATTTGGGATGAAGCTCCAATGGTACACAGATTTTGCTTTGAGGCTCTAGACAAAACACTTAGAGATGTTCTTAGATTTTCTGATTCAAGTTGTGTTGATAAACCATTTTGTGGGAAAGTTGTTGTTCTTGGGGGTGACTTCAGGCAAATCTTACCTATTGTTCCTCATGGAAGCAGACAAGATATAGTCCATGCAACCATTAATTCTTCTTGTCTTTGGTCTCATTGTCATTTATTAACTTTGACCAAGAACATGCGGCTTAGTTCTGGAAGTGACATTCACAATTTAATGGAAATAAAGGAATTTTCTGATTGGCTTCTTAAAGTCGGGGATGGTGTTCTTGGAGATGATGTGGATGGAGAATCTATTATAACAATTCCAGATGAATTATTGATTAAAAAATCACTGAATCCACTTTCAGATTTGATGGATTTTGTGTACCCTGATATCTTGGATCATATTTTAGAACCCACATTCTTTAAAGAACGTGCCATTCTGACTCCAAAATTGGAAGATGTTTCTATTTTAAATGAGAACTTAATGTCTTTGATTACAGGTGACGAAAGAATATATTTAAGTTCAGATAATATTTTGAAGCAAGACGGTAATTCTTCCCTTGAGGATGATGAATTCTCACCTGAGATCTTAAATACCTTCTCCTGTTCTGGGCTTCCGGATCATAAATTAATTTTGAAGGTCAAAGTTCCAGTCATGCTATTAAGAAATATTGACCAATCAAGAGGTTTATGCAATGGAACAAGATTGCTTATTACAAGATTAGGCAATCATGTGGTTGAGGCAACTGTTCATACAGGAAGCAATATAGGAGAAAATGTGTTTATCCCTAGAATGACAATGAGCTCCTCAAGTCATTCTTTTTCTGTAAATTTCCAAAGAAGACAATTTCCCCTCGTCATTTCGTTTGCCATGACAATCAATAAGAGTCAAGGACAATCGATTTCTCATGTTGGAATTTATCTACCCAGGCCAGTCTTTAGTCATGGGCAATTATATGTGGCACTATCCCGAGTAAAGAGCAAAAAGGGATTGAAGATTTTGATAGTTGATGATGATGGTTGTGTAACAAACAGTACCTTTAACATAGTCTACAAAGAAGTATTTCAGAGATTACTGTAATTTATATTGCTTCAGTCGATTGGATATAACGTTGCTCTTTGGTACAGGTAAAATCTGCATTCCTTAAGTTATATTTTTTTCAAATGTTGATTAGCGTTGGATTTTGATTATTTTTATACTGTATTTTTGAAATATGATTCTGAAATTCAAAAGCAAAAAACCACATTGAATAATACTTCTGACAATTACCTGTTCAGTTCTTCTGTTCTTTATTCGCTAAATCATATGTTATGCTAACGTATACTGTTTTTATTTCTTTCATAGTTAGCAAGCTGATGTCAGAGATATTTTGCTGGAACACCGAATAGTATCATGTTATTTGTGAATTATTAATTGTGAGCAGTTTTGACATTATGACATTTAAATTGTTTTTACATTGACATTATTCTATTTATCACTTTTGCAATTGGACGTGAAGGTTACTCGATACAATTAAACGTTTCATCCTACAAAATTTTATTTTACTTTTTTATCTTTCTGAATGCTACAGCCTTTTCAAGTTAAAAATTATAACAATACAATTATTTTTTATTATGATATTATTATTAAGAGTTTCATATCAAGATCAACGTGTGGATTTACCAGTAAGACAACACACCAACGACGACGACAACAATTTTGTTCTTTTTCCCCCGGGCATCGCACGGGTAATTCACTAGTTGATTTATATTGTTTTATATTTTTATATCTTTGTTATCTTTTATATTGACTGTTGTAACTTTGAATGATCATCAACAACAACATATTTATTCCAATGTAATTGGGGTTGTAACATCTCGGGCGCTAATGATGACGGGGAGTGATCGCCGGTGCGAAAAGGCATGGAAAAGGGGCTCCTGACAGGCTTTCAGGCGGGTTACATGAATGAATCGAATCGACACCCGAAATATAGGGATTCCAAAGACTGTGCAGGTATGAGACTGCACAGTTTGTGATAGCTTATAAGAATTAATTGATACTACTTATACTAATAAGATGTATCTACTTTTCGATAGCCCAGAACGGAAGAACTCCATATTGAAGCGTTGACTTGCAATAATTCTGGGCTCTTGGAAAGTTTTCCCAGGAAGTGTGCGAGTGAGGAAAAAGCACACTGAAAAGTCTCGTGTTAGTATACGGGGATAGTCATTGATTCTTGAAGTAGGGGTTCACCCGAAAAAGAGGGATTCCAAAGACTGTGCATGTATGAGACTGCATAGTTTGGGATAGCTTATAAGAATTAATTGGTACTATCTATACTAATAACATGCATCTATTTTTCGGTATCCCAGAACGGAATAACTCCATAGTTAAGCGTGCTTGACTTGCATATTGAAAAGTCTCATGTTAGTATAAGGGGAAAGTCATTGATTCTTGAAGCGGCCGGACAGTACAGGGTCGATGACATTCTTGTAACTTTGAATGTTTATATTAGAGATATATAAAATTATCAATATAGCGTCACTCATCAGCTTAAGCTTTTAAGTTAAATTAGTTCGTTACATGGTATTAGAGACTCGGTATCCAGAGTTCGATCCTCGCCACACCACCCCCCCCCCCCCCCAAATTTTCTTTGGGAAATTTCTTAGCACAAGGAGGCTAGGCCTGATGCATTATCTACCTTTTAATCCCATGGGCTCTCTTGTGAGGAGACGTGTTAAAGATATATAAAACTATTAATGTAGTTTCACTCACCTGCGTAAGCTTTTGAGTTGAATTAATTGTTTACAATTTACAGAAAATTTGTTTTATTTTTTAAAGGGGTTTACATTCATCATTTAACATGACCACACAAAGTTTCCTACATTTTCAACATTTTGTGGGACCCGCATGTTTTGAAGGAAAAAAAAACTACGGCACGCAAAACGAATCTCTATAACATAACACAATCATTTTTCCTACAACATAACTCTTATAAAACTCTTTTTTAAAATCTTATAAACTCATAGTGTCCCAAACATTATAAATTCTAATATCATATCCTTTAAAATTCAATCCTATAAAAACTTTAAAAACAAATCTTTACAGTCATTATATTTTTAAATAATCTTTTAAAACTATAGGATTTTTGAATCCCAACATAATCTTTTGAGGGAAAAGTTATATTTATAAATTTTTTTGTTTACAAACTCTTACAAATTAAACTATATACTCCAAGTAGTACACACTTAAATGTTTGCACTCTCAGGAGTACATAGTTTAGTTTGTATGAGTTTGTAAACAAAAAATTTATAAATATAACCAGTTTATCTTTTAATATCTTAATTCAATACACCCCTTGGAAGTGATTATACCAATTTTTTGGTTTAAAAATTTATTTTTTCTCGTTTGATTTTTCAACAATAATTTTTTACATAATTATTCACATATTTAATATGGGATTAATGTTTTTCTAGTCAATAGAGAATAAGCTTAAAACAATATCATTTTAAAGTTGAAAAAATTTATTTTTATAATTCTAATTATTAGAGAGTTATATTAGTTTTTATAATTATAATTTTTTAATATTTTAACTCTAAAATGATGGCTCGCTAGAGATAACTCGTCTCACCATTTGATGGTGAATAAGAAAAGTAAAATGAATCCCATATTAAACTTTTTGAATCCCACCATTAATAATTTTTTACGTTGTGGTTACTGGTTAGCTTTAACCTGAGCCCCGAAGTGCTCTTTGAAGCATTGTTTTAACTCTAAACAATCAAGAGAACAAGAAAATGTAGTTTTATTAGGGAAGAGAAATGGTGCATTTTTGGGAAACTTTCATTACAACCTTCGTGAAAGCAATCATTATAACTAAGAAAATAGTCAATAGCACAATCATGCAAGGATTGAGACGTCTATTGGAGTACTGTTAAAAAAGTTAGTTTTCGATGATATTTTATCTACGTGCATTATAATTTTAAATATTTTAGGAGTTTAAATTTAATTTATTATTAATGTAACTTTTTTAGGGATTAACGATTTTCTTGTCACATGAGATACTTTAGCAACTCCAAAATAAATTGTTTTGGGGAGAAAAAGTGCAGGATATTTTAATAAAGGATTTAGTTTTTCTCATAAAAAATTATCTCCTATACACATAAAAATGTGAGAGTGATTTTTTTCTCTTTTCTCTTTACATGGTCTCACATGTGTCATGGTCTCATATGTGTCAACACACTTTTATGCGTACGTAGAAGATAAAATTATTATCTACGATATAAGAAATATTAATTCCTTTAATAACATATATGATATAAAAGAATAATAAAATTATTAAAATACCCTACTTTTTTTTTCTTAAACACCAAAATCATATCATTTTGAGGTTGCCGGAGATAATTTTATGTCCTGTTGAAGGAAAAACACTTTCCCCTTTTTTATGTATTAAAGAATGAAAAAAATCATACCTTTGTAATAAAGTAAATTTCTCAATTCAAGTAAAATATTTGGAATTAAGATAACATATCATCTGAGACAATATTAGACTATGTAGCACCGATACTGACACGAGACACAATACGACACGACACTCCGACACGTTAATTTTAAAAAATGTTAGATTTCGACACGTTATGACACGTTTTAATATTAAATATTATTTTTAATTTATGTAACGTATATTATATTTAATACTCAATAATTTAACAAAATAGTAATCGTAATCCAACGAATCTAATAATTAGAACTAAAAACGCAACGCAACGCAATCTTTGAACTTTTTTTTGAGTCTCTACAATGCGTATTGGAGTGTAGGGAAGTGTCGGACACAACACATCTGAATTTTTAAAGTGTCAGTGCTTCATAGATCTTAGACATTCATGAACGAACAGTTATTTTTTTGTCATTCCCTATCCTAATATTTTCCCTCTCTTATCTCTCGTTACCTTAATTTATCTATAAATGATTAACATCCTCTTAAGTGACATGGCCATATCAAATTACACTCATAATTCATTCCCAAGAAATTTTAACAATTTGTGATACATGTTTAACTAATATAAAAAAAAAAGTAAATATTTAACATGAATGAATTGAAAATATAGTTAGGAAAAGAGTTGAAAAGTGGTCCTCGTGGTCTAATTCGATGAATGAAGTGGGACCTTTAAAAAAGCGTTAATATTAATAAGCTCAAAACCATAGGCATACAAATTAAAGAGGCTCTTCCAAATGGATGAATCGACAGTCAAAGTCAAAGTCCTCGTCATCAAAAGTAACTGAAATGAATCTTGCCGCTTGTCAAGTACCATGATAGAATCAAAAGGAAGATTAAACAAAGACTGAAAATTGAAGCTAGTTATAAAGGTGCAGCAATTGTAGTATGGTCCCAAACATGATTTTGGTGATAAAAAAATTCATTCAATGCTCCTTTACCAAGTCTCTAAATTTCGTGGTAGTAACACCACCCTGCAAAGAGACGAAGCCAGCCTAGAATAACACCAAAATGGCGGCAGTTTCTTCATTGAAAAAGCAACATCATTCTCCCCAAAATAAAGGGTGACCAAATATTTGTTTTTCAAATGACAAAGTGGGGCTACTACACTCCCACTTCACAGACACACTCCTTGATATTCCTGTTTTCATGCTTCATAACCGAAACCAAAATCCAACCCAATTTTCAAGTTATTATTCACCAATTTTCAAGTGTTCTCTTCTTCTGAGGAGTAAGGATAAGGAATGCTTCTTGAGGGATGAATGATCCTTTGTCCCCCTTTTTTAAGATGACGTTGTTGATAATTAATGACCAATTCATAGACAACATGTGTCTTTCCCCCTTGCCTTTCGGATCATGTTATGGAGCTTAGTTGAAACCTTGAACAGTAACAGTGGAAGATGTTTCAGCATGACATGTCAATTATCATATTATATTTGATGCTATTTTCTTAGCTAGTGTAGTGTGGTTGATGCGTGGCACTATCTCAACTCGAAAGTTTCAAGATTTCCAATTACTTTTTCATTAGTTTTATGTAAGTAATTTGCTAGATGATTGCGACGTACGGCAGCATTTGATTATTAAAACACAGATGGTAAATGGAATATAA